TTCTTGACTGATCGTAATTTAAAACCGGAAGACCGGCCTGACATAATATGCAAATTATTCAAGATGAAGTTGGATGCTTTAATTTCTGAATGCAGGAAGAACAAGTTGTTCGGACCCGTCATTGGAGGTACTTAACTATTTGTTTATGCCTATGAACTTATCAAAGTAAGCAATTTGTTGTATTATGTTGTTTATATTCTAACTGAAAACCCATTTTTCCATGTTAATAGTTATCTATACCATCGAATTTCAAAAGCGTGGTCTACCGCACGCTCATATACTTTTATTTCTGGATAAGCAACAACGAGCATCACATGGGATACATTTGGACAACATAATTTCTGCTGAGTTACCTGATCCAATACAAGATCCAGAATACTTCAAATTAGTGGATGAGTATATGATGCACGGTCCTTGCGGTAGAGCTCGGTTGAATTCTCCATGCATGGCTAAGGGTAAATGTACTAAACACTTTCCCAAAAAGTTTGTTAATGTTTCTAATTTTGACGATGATGGTTATCCGATTTATCGGAGACGTGACAATGGTCGTTCTGTGGTGAGAAATGGGATTAATTTGGACAATCGCTATGTGGTGCCACACAATAGGCATTTGTTGCTAAAGTATAGAGGTCATATTAATGTGGAATGGTGCAACCAATCCCGTTCAATAAAGTACCTGTTCAAATATGTCAACAAGGGTCACGACAGGGTGACCGCAGAGTTCTACCGCAGCAACAGCGAGGCAGATGAACCGCAAGTGATTGATGAGATAAGTATGTATTATGATTGTAGGTACATATCTCCATGTGAAGCTGCCTGGCGTTTATTTGGTTTTGAAATACAGTTAAGAACACCAGCGGTTGAACGGTTAAGCTTTCACTTGCCCAATCAACAGAGTGTAGTTTTTGCAGATGATGATCCGGTTGATAACATACTCAGTCGACCAACTATATTACAAAGCATATTTTTGGAATGGTTTGAGGCAAACAAAACATACCCAGAAGCAAGGAAACTGACATATGCTGAAATGCCAACGAAGTTTGTATGGAAAAAGGATATTAGAAAATGGCATCCAAGGAAAAGAGGGTTTTCAATAGGTAGAGTTTTCTATGTGCCGCCTGGCAGTGGCGAGATATTCTATTTGCGGTGTCTTTTGAATAAAGTTCAAGGGCCTACAAGTTTTGCAGATATCAGAACAGTAAATGGTGTGCATTACGAATCCTTTAGGGACACGTGTTCAGCTAGAGGATTAGTAGACGACGATAAAGAGTATGTTCATGCTATTGAAGAAGCAGGTCAGTGGGCCACATCTGCTAATTTGAGAAGATTGTTTGTGACTTTGTTGATGTCCAACTCAATGTCACACCCAGAAGTAGTGTGGGAATCTACGTGGAACTCTTTGACTGAAGATGCACAATTCAAGATTAGAGAACAGACTGGACTTGGAGGTATTCAATTTTTTAAAAATCTTTCTTCATGTGATGCAATCTACTTTTGTAAACACACTTATACTCTTTCTTTGATAATTATACCACAGATTTAATTTTATCTGAAGATCAGAAAAAGAATTATGCACTTTCAGAGATACAACTACTTCTGACGACTATGGGAAAGAGTTTGAAAGACTTTCCGTCAATGCCCTTCCCTGATTTACAGAATCTTGACAGAGCAACCAATAGGTTAATACAAGAGGAATTGTCATATGACAGAGATGCAATGAAGGAAGAGAATGATAATTTGGTGGACCAACTGACTAAAGAACAAAAGGCAATATATGATAACGTATTGCACGATGCTGAGAATGAGGTTGGGGGATTTTTTTTTTTTTTTTTTTTGTGTATGGATACGGTGGTACAGGGAAAACCTTCTTGTGGAGAGCATTGTCTTCCGCTTTGAGGTCAAAGGGTGAGATAGTTTTAAATGTTGCATCAAGTGGCATAGCTTATCTATTATTACCAGGGGGAAGAACAGCGCATTCGAGGTTTGCAATACCAATCACTGTCAATGAAGATTCTACTTGAAATATCAGTCAAAGCAGTCCGTTGGCACACTTGATCATGCAATGTAGGTTGATCATTTGGGATGAGGCACCAATGATGCATAAATTTTGCTTTGAAGCTTTGGACCGAACTATGAGAGATCTACTGCGTGTTCAAAATCCAAGAAGTTTTGAAATGACTTTTGGTGGAAAAACCGTCGTGTTAGGTGGAGACTTCAGACAAATTTTACCAGTAATTCCAAAGGGCACCAAGCAAGATATTGTGGGAGTAAGTATAAATTCATCATATCTTTGGAGAAACTGTAAAGTATTTAGGCTAACAAAGAATCTACAGCTTAGGGCATTGCAATCAGATTCAGGAGTTCAAGAGATTGAAGAATATGCAAAGTGGATTGCTAATATAGGTGACAGAACAATTGGTGATTCATTGGATGGAGAGTCTGAGATCAATATTCCAGATAAATTCTTACTCAAGTCAGTGGAGGATCCTATTTCTACAATGGTTGATAGCATATTCCCGGGGTTTCGTACTGGAAATAGAGATGTCAAATATCTAAAAGATTGTGCAATTTTGGCACCAACTTTGGACGTGGTAGATAACATCAATGAATACATGAATGAATATAATACTGCTGAAGGAATGACATATCTTAGTTGTGATTCGGTATGCAAATCTAATTCCAATGTTGACATGCTTGCTGATCTACACACACCGGAGTTTTTAAATGTCTTACGATGTTCTGGAGTGCCAAATCACTCATTGACTTTAAAAGTTGGATCACCGGTTATGCTCTTGAGAAATATTCATCACTCATTGGGGTTGTGCAATGGTACAAGGATGATCATTTCAAAGTTGGTTACTCATGTTTTAGAAGCTCAAATATTGACCGGAACAAGTGCTGGTACAAAGGTATTAATACCAAGGATGTCCTTAACACCGTCAGATCCAAGATTGTCTTTTAAGTTTCAAAGAAAACAATTTCCGCTAATGTTGTCATATGCCATGACAATAAACAAAAGCCAGGGACAAACATTGTCAAATGTCGGATTATTTTTGAAGAGGCCGGTGTTTAATCACGGACAAATGTATGTAGCGGTGTCAAGGGTTAGTAATCCTAGCGGATTAAAAATTTTGATTTGTGACGATAATGTACAATAAAAAAATACGACTACAAATGTCGTATATAAAGAAGTTTTCAATAATGTTTAATAAAACTGGCAGTTCATCCTATTACTTTTAATTTTAAGTACTTACATTTTACTTCTTAGATTTATGACCGTGCATCGCACGGGTGCAACTACTAGTAATTCACAAATTAGTCCTCGATTGATAATTTTAACAAATTAAGTACTCAACTATTTAATTTTTACTATTTAAATGGTATGTTTGTTTCTTGATAAAAGTGTGCAAGTTTAGATTCTTAAATGAAATTAAATGTTCTAATCGACATGTGATATGAATTTTAGTATTAAAAGTATACTTATAATTTTCTTAAAGATTATGATCTATAATTGAATTTATTACAATAACGTTGATTAATTAAGAATGTTACTTTCTCGAACAAATTTTGCTTATTCAGAGTTGTGAAATTTGTGATTATGAATTTCATGATTTTATTGAAAAAAGTTTGAAAATTACATTTGTATAATGTGAGGATTGAGAACTATAAGAATATTCTTATAATTAAGAACGGAAAATTCTATTTGCACCACCCATTTTGCTATTTACACCTCCTATTTAATAGGTGTAATAGCTTTATAGGTGGTGCAAATAAAAAAGTGCTATTTGCACCACCTAATTAAATGTAGTCAAACATTAATCTTTATTTATTTTTTTTTATTTAATAATCAATCTCTTTATTATTATTATTATTATTATTATTATTATTATTATTATTATTATTATTATTATTATTATTATTATGTTTTAATGCCTAATTATTTTGTGCAATATTTTTTTAAGTTTTTATTTTCAATACACTTTTTTTTTAAGTTTCTTTTTCCAATACATCTTTTTTTGTTCAATACATGTTTTTTTAAGTTTATATTTTCAATACTTATTTTTGTTTATGTTTTAATTTTAAATAAAGAGAAACAATAATTAATTTTGTTATTCTTATATTTTTTATAACTCAAATTTGTTGTATACATTATTTTTTATTGATTTAAATTATATTTTCAATACTTATTTTTGTTTATGTACTGTAAATTAAAAAAAAATTGAAAATAGAATATGAATGTCAAATGTGTACAAGAAGAAAAAACTAAAATTAAAATTACTATGCACTAAGGGTCTGTTTGAAAACTTGACAAATAATTTTTAAAATATGATTTTTTAAAGAAAATATTTTAATTTTTTATTTGACTTAAAGTTAAATTTTGTATTTTTCTATTTGATTCAATTTTTTTTTTATTATTATTATAAGGAAGGAGGATACCCTACATATATATACACACTACTTGCCTCAAGCGAGGTTCAAACCTTTCACCTCTTACTTAAGAGAGTAACCCGATACCAGTGGACCACAAGCCACTTTGATTCAATTTTTAAAATGAACATATTATTTGTTTTTTTTTTTTGAAAGAAACATATTATTTGTTATATAACAACAACAACAACAACAATAATAATAAGTGGTGTGGTGTAGAATAATTTAATCATCAAAAACTAGTTTGAAAATATATGAGAAGGAAAAGAAAGATAAGAAAATAAAAAATTTTAAAAATATCTCTTGATAAAAAATCTAGGAATTCTTTGTCAAATTGTGTGTTTTTTTTTTTTTTAATCAAAATGAATATTTCTCATTGACTTTATTTTATTTGAATATCCAAACACAACAAAAAAATTCAAAAAATAACTTTCAAAAATCATTTATTAGGTTTTCAAAATGCATCTTAAAAGTAAAATTAACCCATTTGTTGTTGGTTTGAAAAATAAAAGGGCGGAATAATATAATTGGTAGAAACATTGAGGACTTGTATGAAATTACAAAATTAAACCCATTGCTTTGTCGACTTGTATAAGGTTTTCATTTCAATTTCAATTTTCCTTAAACCCTCTCCCGGCAGAGTGTAAATGGGGAAGCACGGGAAGAAGCAAAACCACCATCGCAGAGGAGCAAGAAGCACTCACTATCTCGAAGAAGAAGCAGGGGAGCAATACCCACCCGCTCAAGAAGAACATGAACTCCCAGAAGATGAAGAAGAAGAAGATGATGATGAAGAGGAAGACACTGAAATTGATAACAATTCATCAGCATCAACCAATGATATGCCTTCCAAATTCATGCTTTATCAGCAGTCTGTTCAGGCAAGAAAACCCCCTATATGTAACCCTTGAAGATCTCCAAAGTTTGCTTTTTTTTTTTTTTTTTTTTTTTTTCCTGGATATGCTAATATGCTTCTTTTTTTGGGTACAGTCACCTAAAGGGGACATAAGTTATCTGCAGAAGTTCTTTTTGATGTATGTGGGTGGGAGGGTGCCCCTCCATTTCCAGGAAGATTTCTGTGGCACTGCTCTTTTGAGGTATATACAGGTTCTGTCTTGAATGAACTTCTTGTTCACTGAAAATACTCTCATTTTTCCATTCAAATTATACTAAATGTTTTCAATTTTTTGTCATAACTAAGTTGGTCCAATCTTGACTATTTGTGCTTTAGTACGTTGAGAAAGTAGTTATGAACGGATACTATATTGGAACAGAGTTAGTCAGTAGTACTAAAAAAAAGTTGGTCCAATCTACTTTCAGTGGTTAAGCACCTAGACAAGTATTAGGTGGTTGTCGATGTTAACTGCTTGGACATTTTCGTTACATTCTACACTAACTATAACAGATTCAGTAACTAGTTATGGAAAATATGTTTTGTGATTGATTCCTGGTGGGTTATGTTTGTACTGTAAAACCACTAACTGGATGCATTTGGCAGTGCAGAATGGCTTCGAGGTGATGCAAGACGAACTGCTGTAGGATTAGATTTGGATCTCGAGGCACTCGAGTGGTGCATGGAGAACAATGTGAAAAAAATTGGGGCTGATATCTCGTCCCGAGCCTTCCTGTTTCATGGCAATGTCTTGCAACCTCTTGAGGCCAGACTGGTGAACGCTGGTACTCAAGATCGCGTGCAAAACATTAATCTAAAAGACGGAGAACATGGTTCTCCTGACCCTAAACTAATGGACGCTCAATTGCCCGCGAGAGATATAGTTTGTGCCTTTAACTATAGTTGTTGCTGTCTTCACACTCGTCCCGAACTGGTTACATATTTCAGGCATGCGTTGAGTGGCTTGAACAAGAAAGGTGGCATATTTGTGATGGATCTTTATGGAGGCACATCATCAGAGTGTGAGCTGCGGCTGCAGAGGAAATTTCCTAATTTCACGGTATGCTTCTCTTTCGTTAGAAGATTGATTTTCAGTATCAGCTTAAAATATGGCACATTCTAGGCCGTTTGGAAAGTTCCAAGTTTCCTGGCTACCAAACGCCCTCTTATAGTTTGTTCTTTGATAGTCTGTATTAGATTAGGCATTTGAGTATGTTCTTATAATTCACCATCTTTGTTTCCAGTATGTTTGGGAGCAAACTGAATTCGACATCATTAAGAGGAAAACGAGAATCAGCCTTCATTTTAATCTGCAAAACCCAAAACGAAAGCTTCGCCATGCATTTTCATACAGCTGGAGACTGTAAGTATTGGATTATCTTTATCATTCAATGGTTATTTATGGGGAAACATAATAGCATTTTGGTCTTTTTAATCTCTGCTTCATGGTTATTTTACTTGAAAACAAAAAACCATGTTTTTTAAAAATGTCCAGATGGTCATTGCCTGAAATTAAAGACTGCTTGGAAGAGGCGGGATTTCGCTGTGTCCACTTTTGGATGCGACAAATGCCAGACAGTGAAGATATCAAAAGCACATATGGATTTTCTGCAGGACAAGACATAAAATATGAAGAGGTCACTAGCTTCCAACAACAGGATTCATGGAATGCTTACATTGTTGGTGTTGCATGAAGTTATCATTGTCATCTTCATGAACTAAAGCTGTTTTTATCAATGTTGAACTGAAGTTTTCTTCAATCTTGGTGTTTTTCTGAATACTCATGTGCTTGAAGCTCCATAGGATGATGAGTTGTGCTTCAGATTTTGATCTCTTGAAATGTATCATCTGCAGCTCCTTTTAGCTTCCTTACATTAGTATTTGGGGTAACCCCAGCTAGATTGTTAATGTGGCAATAAGAGTAGCCTATTAACTTTCTTAGTTTAAGCCAATCAATTTAGTGATATTTGAAACAATCCCTATCAAATTATCAATATTATAATTATAAAATTACAAATTTGACTTTTAAGGGTTATTTGGTTCACAAAATGTTAAATTATCATAGGAAATGTTAGATTCCTGTATTTGGTTTCATATATATATATATATATATATATATATATATATATATATATATATATATATTTATTTATTTATATTTATATAATTTAAAAATAATTAACTTAAATCTTGAACTCGAAAAAACAAAATTATTTTATAAATTAACATAATAATAAAAAGAAATAAAATGAAATATATAATTAAAAAACAATTAAATATAATACATATAATATGCAAATATAAAAAAATACATTTTATAATAATTAAAATTAAAATAATAAAAATTGTAAATATCCATGACAATCTTAGATAACTTAAGAATCGTGAATAGTTTCTTAACAATTTCTGTTAATGTGTTAATCACAAATTATAAATGTATAACAACCTATTAACTTTCTTAATTTGAACCGATCAGCTCGAACACTAATCAGACTCTAATTATAAGTGGTCTATTATGATCCTGAAATTTACATAGTAACTTATCACTCAATAAAACACTAATATGGAATACTTGGTCCCTTTTCTGACTGACACCTTTGGGTATTTCTTCTTTCCCCCTACCCCCTAGAAATAGATATGTACATATTTACTTGGCAAAGCCAGAACTCCAGATACACTGAATTCTCAAGTCAAGACAGTCTGTATACAAGAACATAGGAAAGGAGCTGGCCTGGGATTCATCATACTGTCATGCTGCTACAGACTATGATTGTACTTTTGTGAACATGATTTATACAAAAAAACCAAAACAAGTGCCTAACTCTACTCTTACAGAGAAAGCTACAAGCATCTCATGCCCAAAATATAGTGCACCATCCAATACATAATACCCCATTATGAAGCCTAGATATGTACTAATTAAGCTTTTCATTTCTTCCTTGACTTGCTGGTCTTTTTGTCAAGCCGCCTCGGGCTCATCCGGTTCAGCTGTGTAATATTCAACAGCTTCCTCATCGTACTTGACGGCCACCAAGAACCTAATGCTCACCTGGGGAAGAAAAGAAACGAGTTTATTGTATGACAAAAGGTCGGTTTTAGATGTTCTAACCACTTCATTTCACATACCTGCTGTGGATCATACACGGCATACTCATTATAGTCAAACGGACTGTTGTTGTGCTGTGATTCTTCTATCAGGCGGCCGCAAGGCACTTTGATATCGTCCTTCCACACGAAATGCTCGGATTCATCGGTCTTCTTCCTGCCATGGAACTTCGCCCCGAGCTTCTTTTGCTCCAAGGATTTAGTATCCTGCTCCAATGTTCAGCAATGGCAAAGATTAAGGACTAGCTATTCAGCTTCAATTCATACCTTAGTTCATTATATGCTTGTTACCTCGGGTGGACTCGAGAACTCCATGATTTCTTCACCCATTGAAGCCACAGCCAAAACTAAGAAGCCTTCTGGCCTGTCCACTGCTGTAAAACCATATTTAGCAGCTTCTGCTGCAGCATCTGAGCAGACAATAGCTTTTCCAAACTGCGAGAAAAGAGTCCCACATTGATAAAATAAGAGAAAATATACAAGTTTATAAAGCCATAAGTTAGACTAGCTAATTTGTTAGATTCAATCTTTTAGTGTGGTTTGGTTCATGTGCATTATAGCCTAATTGAGTGACAGTACACTTTATACAGAAATGAAACTTCCCATTTTACAGATTATAGTTATACCATATAGCCTGGGACCGGAAGTGAACAAACAGCCGGCAGAAACCCATTCTGCAAATGCCTCAACAGATTTGAACTTCTGGTGCCTGAGAAAAAGAGCTTAATAAGCTATAAACAACATCTCTAAACGAGATAAAATTGTAATTGTAAGTGTAATAGATGTCGGTTCCATCTTACCACACCAGAGAAGAACTTTGTTCGGCAACTTCTTCATGTCATCGAGCGAGGGGCAAGCGCTTGGTTCAACAGCAAATATATTCTCAACCGATACTCCATAACTCTTTAAGAGAGTAACATATTAGAACGTTATGATTGGATCTAGCAATGAAAATGAAGTAAATAAGGCTTACTATGTCTCCAACTCTAACAGGGTCATAAGTTTTCTCGAGGTACTTCAATATCATTTTGTAGTCATCAGAATCTTTCTCCAAGGCGGAAATAGAGCACCCCAACTTCACGTATCGATCATACAAAGGATCATCGAGAGTAGAACCCGACATATCTTCTATAAGGCGGGATGCAGCGTTGATATCTCTCACGCTCTCGAACACAGAAGCAGCCTACAAATCATCACAACAGGTCGGGTGAATCACAAAGGCGGCTCCAGAAACCTATACATACAATTTTAAAGAATCCCACTAACATGATCTGCAATATCAGCGAAATCCCGGAGATAAAATGGCCTCGTAGATGGCATGAGAGTGAACCATTTGTTGCTGAATTCTGCCCACAACGCTTCTACTTGCTGCCCTGCTTCTTTCGTCGATCTTATCCTCTCCACAAAGTGGAGCAGTGTATCCTCACCTACACAGTTGATGGTAAAATGTTCAATTCTTTTGGTATATATTAACATGACAGATAGCATTCGGGTAAGTGAAAGAAAGTCTTACATCTTTCTAGATGCACGTCAGAAAGCATCCCGATTGGAATCTCTGGGTAATCATACCCCATCTCCATTAACGCGTACCTTTATCCAATGAATCATTATAAGTACCACTAAAATGGTATGGGGCAGTATAGTTCATATAGTTCATATACCTATAGATTTCTTGGCTGCAGAGAATTTTCATAAAATTCGCTACCATCGGATCCAGCTTGCTGTGTACAGCTGCAATCCCGAGTTGCCTAAGGGCAAGCCCTCCATGCCGAACTTCAATTCCATCAGCCTATCGAATCCAAACAACACAAGTGAGCACAAACCCACGTTTTACCCACGTTCTACAAGCCTGAATTATGAAAGTACCACATCAAGGGGATAAAATTTGTGAGGTTTCTTCTGAATTTTCTTCTCCCTCTCCCGGGACAAGAACTCGTTTCCCGTCAGCTCTTCAAAGATCCTAGAGAACTCTTTGATAGCTCCATCCTCGTTTTCCCACTCCTCTAGCTTGTCATCGACTCGGGCAGTATCCCCCACTCTGCCCTTCCTATAGTACATGTGCAAACGATTCTCGGGCGCCACAATCAGTTGCATAATGCAGAAACTGCATAAATTCAAAACTTATCATTGTCATCATTGTCACTACTACAAAAATAGAAAAACCAAAACCAGACAATATCTCGGGGCAGTACTCGTTGAGTCCTCTTCCTTGATCGCAAACCGAAAGAGCACAATTGTACAGCAGCCCGTCTTTTTCAAGTATCTTTCCACCTTCATCCTGCAACTTAGTATCCTTGTGCACCCCCCTCTTTCCATACACCTTAAGCTGCGTCAGCAAAACATCCTATTCATGAATATCTAAGATAACATCCTAGTCATCTCCAAACATTCGTGTATCTAAGTACCTCTGATGTAATGTTCTCGAGTGCCTCCGCACTTGGATCCTGCTTATCGAGCGGAATCCCTCTACCATCAACAGCAATGTCGCTCGCAACATCATATGCATCTAGCGGCTGAACCTCCTTTTTCTCTATGCTATCTACCAACCAAGCTTCCCTTACTACTGGTATACCCCTCTCCCTATGAAACACTCATATCAGCAAATATAAGCAAAAACTTAAACAAAATCTACTAAAATATGTTCTGTTTTGTTAAACTAAAAATTGTAGTTCTGAACTATAAACAAGAGTGTCAATCAAGAGACTACACAAAATCTACTATAAATTTAAGTTCTGAACTATAAACAAGACCTTTCACACATAAATCTGATACTAAATTATATAGGGAGCAAATACCAATTTTAGTCCACTAGTATTAGAAAAATGACAGTTTTAAACTATAAACAAGACCTTTCACACATAAATCTGATACTAAATTAGAGGGAGCAAATACCAATTTTAGTCCACTAGTATTAGAAAAATGACAATTTTAGTCCACATATTTAATTCCTACCAATTTTCATCCACTACTATTATTTTAGTACCAATTTTTAACTATTGTTTTAGTGTCAAAATTTATCACGCCGGTCAACCCTTCGTTAAAACATGCTGAAATAAAATTATTAAGGGTATCTTCATCATTTTCAAATTAAAATTCTAATTTGAGCCTAAATAAAGAGATTTAAGCTCTAAGATCTATCCCAATTTGGGAGTTATCCTCCTCAAATTAAGGTATAACTCCTCAAATTAAGTTAGGATGAGGAGGAGAATTGCAAATTGAAATTGATCTTAGGACTTAAATCTCTTTATCAATGCTCAAATTGGGTCGAAGAGGAGAACTGCGAATTGAAATCGATCTTAGGACTTATATCTCTTTATCCATGCTCAAATTGGGTCAAATTGGGATTTTAAGATGAAAATGACGAAAATATCCTTAAAAAGTTTAGATTTCAATATGTCTTAAGAAAGAGTGACCGACCTGATGAATTTTGACACTAAAACAATAATAACAATAATTGTGGAGGAAAATTGGTATTAAAATAAGATTAAAATTGGTAGAAATTAAATATGTGATCCAAAACTATCATATTGCTAATATTCGTGGGACTAAAATTGGTATTTGCACAAATTAGAGGATATGTTCGATTTAATTTATGTATTATATGTTCAACATACTCACACTGCTTCAGCTACTTTAGAAGAGCCACCGCGCTCTCGTTCGGCCGGAGAGACAACTAAACAAGTCACACCTGCCACGAGACCAAAACCAAATTCCTACGTTAGCACAACATAACATAACATAACATAACACCATCTGCACACACAAACATTAGTATGAACATTACCAATGACAGAATTTGCCACTTTCCCTCCGTTCTTCTCGATCTGCGATTTCCAGTATTGCTGTGCAATAGAAATTATGAGCAAGTAATCTCTTACGAATATAGATATAGCAGTACTGGTAGTAGTTCAACAAATTAAAAACTACTTTACATGGGTTCGGGTGAGACGGCCGGAGAGCGAAATCATCATACCGCTTAGAGGTTTAACGGTGATAACCTGTTCTTTCAGCGGCCGGTTTTTGGGATCTTGATGTTTCTTGATCAACTAGATACATAAAAATGCAGGGAATGAAAAACTAACAGTGAATTCATGCAATATTGAATGATATATATGTATGATGCAATTTATATATTATTACATCTGAGAGTGGCGTTTTCTGGACAGATTCTGGAATTCTCAGGGGCTCTTCCTTTCTCGGAGGATTTCTGGTGGAGTAAGAGCAGCTCGACCACTCTGAGAAATCTCCTTTACAGTGATAGGTTCCGCCGCTGCTGCACTCCAACGCGCCGCCACAAACCGGGCACTTATCCACCGGGCCGTAAAACATAATTTCTTGGCTGCATATATATATATATAGAGAGAGAGAGAGAGTACATTTAACCATACATACTGAAGCTTCAATCTAGCTATTCTCAATGAATTCTGTGGGCCGGCACGGCTGAAAATTATAGAATTTCCGGTCACCTTAAATTAAGTCGAAAGTAAAAAATGATCGGAAATAACAACAAAATTTTTTCCGAATACCAAAAGTGATTGAAACAAGACTTTCAACTTGATTTAAGATCATAAAAGTCTGAAATTTCATAATTTTCAGTAATGGAAGATCAATAAATGACTTAAAAAGGCCAAATTCAGCACCTAATGTCAAGAAAATGTGAAGATAATTTTCAGTAATGGATGATCAATAAATGACTTAAAAGGCCAAATTCAGCACCTAATGTCAAGAAAATGTGAAGATTGTCTAACAAATTTGGATAATATTATATATATATATATATAGAGAGAGAGAGAGAGAGAGAGAGAGAGAAATAATGGATTACCATCTAGGAACAATAGTTTCATCGGAGCCGGAGGAATCCTGGGCGTTATCTTGGAGGATTTGGCGCATTTGTTGGACGGAGAGATGCTCGCTCGTGGCTCTACAGAACTTCTCGAACTCGGCTGCTGCAGCTACGTCGGCGGCTTTTCCGTCCTCCTCCTCCGCCTTCTTCTCGTCGCCGGCGCCACCGTCCGTGGTTTTCGCCTTCTTGGTCGGCGAGTTGTGCAGGGGCTCATCATGATCCTGCAGCTGCTTGCTATCCGCCTTCTGTTTCCTGGTCACCATTCTCTCCTCGTCGTTTGCGTGATGCGTGTGAGACCTCGTCTCATGAACCTTCATATCTGGATCCAAACTCAACTAATCTCGCAAGCTAAGCTATATTATTAGCAGAGATGAAACAGCGAACTGAAGTGAAGCGAAGCAAGCTAAGCTAAGGTAGGTGTTTTTAATTTGGGTTTGAAAAGACGAGAGGTCGGTGATGTGGTGGCGTCATTGCAGACGTGTCGTGACTGGGAGGTACCAAGTGTACGAGGAAACACTCGGTGGTTGCCACTGCTGCTAGAGATCGTCCACGTGTGATCGAAGTGGATAGTGTACGTACTGTACAGACATGTGTTTTCATGCTCCGGTGTGTTCCATCTACTGCATCAAATATTATTAATTGTATGAAACTGGATAATTGGTATATTTTCTGTATGCACAATTGCACAAATAAACAATAAAAATTAAAAAAAAAAATTATTTGAAAACTACTATGTGTCTATATATATATATAGGATACTATATAATCATGAGAACCCTCCTCTTCATGAGAGAGACGGAGTCAAGAATTTTGTTGAAATGAGGTGAAAAAACAGGAACGGATTCATACATTTTTCTTTTTTTTTGAGTAAAGGCGAAACACTAAAACAAAAGAAATAATTTGAAAAAAAAAATAAATTATCCAAGAAATATAGATATAAATATTATTGGATATGAGCGAAAAATAAAACACTTCAAAATTTTATAAAAATATTCATAACAAAATATGAAACATAATTAATTTGATAAAATAATTTGAATAGAGAATACATTATAAATTACACATGTGTGTTAACTATTAAAAAAGCTATTAAAAACGTAATTGTGTTGAAGTCATAAGGAATGAACAAGAAATTGTGAAACTGTGTTGATGCCAACAAAGAATTCAAAATCCGGACCTTCATTATAACCAAACATGTGTTGCCAACTAATCTAACTCACTTCTTGCTAACATTCATCTGTTTCTTTATACTAGCTGGTAGGGAATACCCTGACCGACATGCCACGTGTTTTGTTATTGTTTATGCAGGTTTACAGGTCGGATATTCCTAAAGGAATCCGGTCGGACCCGACCGGTGCATCTCCCGACCGACGTCTTCAACACCCGATCGATGGCCCTTGGATGAGGAGTTGAGAAGAAGCACATGGCAACGTTACGCGCTGACAGGCAGGGCTCGCGAGGTGGAGACACGTGGTTGCTACGTGGGCTACATGCCGGCCGACCGAAATTATGTCTCCGGCCTAGCGGCTATAAATACCCACGTCGGCAACAGTATGGGGGACTCCTGGAACGATCGATAGGCTATTTACAGAGCATCCCGACTGCAGTCAGTCGGCCCTCGGAATAGCCATTTTAGATTGTACTAGGTCCTTTACTCGATCAATAAAGACTTTACTTGCTTTCTTTTGATCGTGTTGACTTCTTTGACCGCATTACGTGGAATTAGTACTATCATTTTGGCGCCGTCTGTGGGGACCCGTGCACGAAAGCTAACGTCTGATGAGCACCGGTTCTATCCGTCACGATGTATCCGTTCATGTATCACACTCTAGGCGATGATCAAGCAGATGCAGCGAGCTCATCCGATCACCAGCCCACGCAGTATCAAGGTCAGACCGTTGACCTCAACCTCAATCTATCACCGCCTCATCCGGCGACACAGTACCCGGTCGCCCAGCAACCGGTCGGCTACATCCAACCAGGGTATCCACCACCCAGCCAGCAGTTCCAGTATCCCGGGCAGTATCCGTACCCGGTCCCACCTCCGTAATATGGGTATTGGCCCGGTCAGCCAATGTATTACACACCCCCGACCGGCTATCCCCAGTATATGCCTGTGCACACGGCTCCAGCCTCCGCTCCTCCGATTTACCCGACTATCCCGACTGAGCCGGAGCTTCAGCCCACTTCCCGGGCTAGGCGCTCGGCTCGTTCGAGGTTGGGGTCGCAGGGTGCCGAGGCCATGGAGGTACCACGGAAGGCCCAGCAGGTACAGCCGGAGATGCAAGCCCCAGCGGAAGATCTCGAAGAACAGGCCAATCGGGAAGTGGCGTTCGAGCGGCTCCGCCCAGCCATGCGGCAACGATTGGGACCACAGGACCCAAACCGGCGCTCAGTAGATTCACCGATGAGAGAGGCCAGCCAGGAGGGTTCGTCTGCGCATAGTGGGTAAAAATCACATCGTCGACACGCGTGTGACACCCCGAAATCCAAATTCGGTTAAGGGATTAATTAAGTAATTAATCCTATTTCAATTTGTAATTTAATTCCTTAAATTCCTGAAATTTAATAGTCGGGGACTAGTAATTGACTAGTCAACCCCATAGTCAAAGTTGTACCTTGAGCTTTGTAAAGAGTTCCCTTCTTCCTTACACCTTTCCATGTTAGTAAGGGTATTCTTGACCTTTCACCTTGTGTTAGTATTGTAACCTAACCTAGTAAGAACACCCTCATTTCTCTCCTTACACTTTCCAAAATCCTAGCTCCACCTTCTCTCTAAAAAGGTGGGTAGCTTTTCTTCCAAGCCAAGTTGAAGCTTTGTCAAGACTTCAAGAGTTGTCTCCAAGATTCTACCTTTCATACATTTGGGCATATAGGAGGGTAAGCTTCATGTTCATCTTGTGTTTTTAGTGTTTTCTTAGGTGTCTTTTCTTAAAGATAGAATCTTTATGATCTTTTGGTATGTTCTTGAAGTGGGTTTGGAAGGTGAGCTTTGATAGGAGCTTGGTGTGGTGTTAAGTGAAGGTTTTTGGTCTACAAGAGGTAACCATGCTCTACAAAATCTATTTTGCTTACCTATATGATGATTTCTTGGATTCAGCATGTGTTTTGCTATGAAATGTGAGTGTTTATGAATTATGCATTCTCTTGTGAAAATGCATATCTAGAGCTTGTTATTAGGGTTCTTGTATGCCATTGCTTGGCTATTCCTTTGATTCAAGTCACTTTGTTGTATTTGGTGAGATTTGGCATGTTTTGGACTTGAATTTGAGCTTGGAGTTGAAAATCCCCGAAGGGATTATTTTGGTACAGGTTGGTGTACCCGCGGGCGGAACGGCGGGCAGAGCCCTACCCGCCGCCCCACCCGCGGGAACATGTGGCTTGTGGGTGTATGTACTCGCGGGCAGGACCACGGGTAGGGGCCTACCCGTGGGTCCACCCGCGGGGTACACAGTGTGGTTGATTGGGGATTTTTTCCCCGTGATTCTTTTGACTCGGTATTTGGTCTTTTGACTTCCCGTTGTTCTTTTGTGGAACTATTTGAGTGTCTTCTTGATGTTTCGTATGTCTAGAACTATATGGTAGGATTCCATGTAGGTTTTGGTGTCGTGAATCGTGCTAAGTGTTCAACATTGTGATTCGTTGAACCGTGATGAGTCTAGTGTGTTCTTCAGAACTACGTTCGATTTACCCGTTTGATAAGCATGCTAGTTCGGTGTTTAAATGCTAGCGTGTGTGTTGTTTGTACCTTCTTATTGGTTGATGATAACTTGCGTTATTCATCGTTGTTGTTGTGGACTGTGATCCATTCCTTGATTGAGTATGGTTTCATATCTTCGTTGTGATCCGTTGATTGATTCCTGTTGTGGTGTGATGTGTGTGTGGCTTTACCTGGATTGCACGATTAGTGGTATGGGACACTAGTCACCAAGGTATTGCAGTGGTCCTCGTGGTGGCCATGATGTGATTATGGAGTTGTGACCTTTGTGTAAGGTTCACGTATTTCTTGGGTTGCATGTGTTGCTGTGTGTGTGATCGGTACCCTCGTGTACTATGAAATTGGTGGTCTTGTTGGTGGTTTGTTGGTGGGGGACGACTGTCCCAGGAGGGAAAAGGTTGGACTAAGAAGTACAGGGGTCCTTGAGGTAGTGGTTGGAAGAAGATACAAGGTTGGGGGTAGCCATAAGGTTGGAACCGGGCATAAGGAAGGCATATCAACTCGTGATGGGTGATGTCACGAGGGCTTGTGTAGCCGTTGTTGTGAGTTCTCTTCTTGTGACGTATGTAGTCACAAAGGCATGTGTTGCCGTTTGTGGTGTCTTTATCCTTTGAGTCATGCATGTTGGGTGTTGATCTATTGTGTGAAGATAGATCACACCTTGAGACTTCTTGTGAGTCGTTGTTGTTCTTTGTAGTCTTGGGATGTGTTCCCGTGTTCTTGTTGAGAGTGTTGAGTCTTGTGTTGACTATTGCTCTTGGTTTTTGACTTATATATATGTATTCCGTTTCGCAAATGGCTTTATAAACCTATATCTTATCTATGTATGATATTTCACATGTATTGGTGGGTTACCAGCATTATTCGCTGACCGGGCGTCGTCCCATGTTTAATATGCTTCTTTCAGGTGATGCTTAGACGAGTGCACTGTCTAGTGCCTGCTAGCATAGTTTCCCCTTTGTGTTTTGTGGCCTGTGAGCCAATATAGACGTAGAACTTTGTTGGATGGTTGTAGATTTAACCAATGCAGATTTAGCCTGTGCGTTCACCCTTGGGTGAGCGTGGCATAGCACCCCGTTTCCTCGTTTTATATATATCTTATCTTCCAGTCTTCCGTTGTGTTTGGTGTTTTGGTTTAAGTTATCTGCATGTGTTAAGGCTTAAAATAGCTTGGTTTTAGGGGGTGTTACAGTTGGTATTAGAGCCTAGGAGGGTTAAGTCTAGACTTTCTAAGTGGCTAAGTGTGGTTTGAGACCTTAAAGTGACCTTAAGAATCTAAGTGCTAGGCTTAGGACTTTAGGACGCGCGGTGAGGTTGTGAGTTCTTGTGTCGTTTTCTGTTGTGTTGTCTGTGCTTTGTTTTCTTTTTAGCTTTGGTTCTCTTTAGTTAAGGCACCAGGTAAGGGTGCGGGCCCTAAGTCCTTCCCGTTGTCGTGCTGTTGCTATAGAGGTCGAGGATGGCACCATCGAGACGTCGTGCAAGGTCTTCAGAAGCAGTCACCAGTGAACAGCTAGCTCAAAGTCTTCATCAACTGATGCAGATCACCCGGAAGCTGAGCGACGCCCTCCTCAACATCAACCACCCTCTTCAGAATGGGAATCGCGACGTAGTGCGCCAAGTTTCTAGTCTCCGTCCCCCAATCTTCGCCGGTGAAGAAGATCCCGCAGTGC